CTAAATTAAATGTACAAACCACAGGCGGGTCCTGCTCCTCCTCCCACGGGCAAACGGGGAGCAGTTTTTGGTTTGGCGCCGGCTCATTTAGGGCCTGGATTCCTTTGGAAGTTTCCGGCACTACGGAACCGTCCTAGAAACGATTGCTGTACTCCAAAAATTACTTAAATATCCGATAAATAATCCGCCTTAACTCAAGAGTAAAAATTACCCGTATTTTACTCGTTACGGCATGTAAAAATTCTTCAAAATTAATCTCGCCATCGCCGTTGACATCAGATGTGCGCATGACGGCTTGGACTACCTAAAAATATAGCTAAAAATTTATTTAAAAATTTTTCGAGTCGATGAATAAAGATTTTACGTGCCCAAAAATTGAATCCGACCGGAAAAGCGGCAATTTCCGGAAAAATTCAATTTCTATGGCGCTAAGAAATCGAATTCGGCGGTTCATTAAGCGGAAGGGGGAACGTCAAGAGCTTTAGGGTGTAAAATATCTGGCTAGACACCAAAAAAAGCTGGAAAATGCGTAATGAGTAATGTTCTGGGTTTCTGGTACCTTTGGTGAGACATCACACCCAAAACCCATCAACATTGTCGCCACTTCATTTGAGGAAATCGATCCCGAGCCGTCCTCGTCCATCGCGATGAAAATTGCGTGCACCTGAGAAAGTAGATATTTTTAAAGCGCTATTTTCCGCGTTTAAAACATAAATCATCACGGTTTGAGAATCTTACTGGTTTTCCTCGTGAACCTATGGCCAATTGGTTAAGCTCTTGCCTTCCAGTCCGATGGTCCGTGTTCGATCCCCTCCACGCCGGTGAAGAACTTTTTTTCCTAACTCTCTCTCTCTCTCTCTCTCTCTCTCTCTCTCTCTCTCTCTCTCCCTCTTTCTCTTTCTCTTTCTATTTCTCTCTTTCTCTCCCTCTCGTTAGATCTATCTCACTATCTTACTCTCTCTCTCTCTGACTCTCTCTCTCTCTGACTCTCTCTCTCTCTCTATCTCTCTCTCGCTTTCTCTCTCTCTTTTTCTCTTTCAACTCTCTCTCTCTCTTTTCTCTCCCACACGCTAGATCTCTCTCTCTCTCTCTCTCTCTCTCTCTCTCTCTCTCGGGGATCGAACCCGGGTCGCTAGATTGACAGGTAAGAGCTTTACTAATTGACAAAGGTTGATAAGGGATAATTAGATTTTTATTACTTAAAACATGTAAATCAATGGCTTAAAATTCTATAGCTAGTGAAAACGGCCGAAATGGGTTGCAATGAAGGCCGGCAAGGAGGGCCCGCTTTTTTTGGTTGTTCTTCTAAACGGAACACGCCCCTTCCTTTTTTCATTTCCCTCCTTTTCCCTCTATTTTGTGCTGTCCATCAGCTTGAGCCCTTCAAGGAAAAAGCGGAAAAGAGCCGGGAAAAAGAAACAACACGGCAGATCGCCTTACCGGGCCCTCATGTTCATTTGTCAAAAACGAGAGGTGGACCCGGATTGAATTGCCATAAAAATTTTATTTTAACTCTCAATGCTTTAAAATTTTTACCACATATAAAACAAACTATAAACTACATTCACGAAAAATTTCAGCTTGAGATATGCAAATCTAAAGAAACTATGCCAGTTTTACTAAAACTATTTTTTCATGTTTTGAAAAAATGCTCAATTTCTTTCAAAAATTTTTCTATTTGTAAGATAATGTTTTATATATTTTTCTTTATGTTTTAAGCAATTTACAAGCTATATAACATCCGTACCTTTTTCACATCAGCCTCCGTGATCGTAAACCGATGCGCCAATTCCTGCACCAAACCCCGGTCCAATTTCGGCTTTTTCCGGAATAAATTGAGCCCACGTTTAATCTAAATTTTTTTAGTAAAATTTGTCGTTTTTATTTTAGATATGTAAGCTTTTAAAATTAAATTTTAACAAATAGGAATTTTTCAAAAATTGTTAAAACGTATTTCTTGCCTGAAATCTGTTCTTTTTCCAGAAAAATGAAGGCATTTTTGTGATCTGAATTTTTTTAGGGTATAAATGAATTTAATAAAAAATCAAATTATTATTTTTTGGAGGTTTAGTACCTTAACGTTCATAATCGCATTCCAAAACAAATCGTCTTTGTGGGGGGCCATTCCGGCCGCGTCGGGCGAATCTGGAAAATCGGGTTTTTTTTGGTTTTCAACTTCATATTTTATTCATTTTATATCTTTATTTATTTAACGCTATTTTTATAAATTTTTATCTCACCTGCTCGGCCTTTTGTACACAACATGTCTATCGACAATCGTCTATTGTACTGATCTGTGGCGGTTTTCAAGTTTTTAGGGTGAAAATGGCGAATTTAAAGACATATGAGTTTATATAAAAATTTTTAAGACGTCTGGTTTTTAGAAAAATATATAAACCATTTAGAAAGATCAAAAATACTTTAAAAAACAAGCTGCATCCGAAAAACCGGAAATCCGCTCTACTTTTGCCCCAAAATCAAGGAGCCCGCCCGAATTCGGAACGTTGCAATTTGACGGCAACATTGGCCGGGGCCTTCGCCTGGCAAAAACCAATTCCAACTTTTTCGCCCATTTCCCCCTTTTGGTTTGGCACCGGAAAAAAAACGAAAAAGCCGGACGCGCCACGCCAATATCCACAGTGCTTCAAATACGGGATATTGGACCCAGGTCTGGGGTTTTGGTTTTGGGGTTCCGGGGCCGGGATTGTAAAAAAAAGTGGGTAGAGGATTTTAAAATAATAGTAAAACTTTTGACGTCAAAAAGCAAAAAAGCTTCCCCGGCGGGGGTTCGAACCCTGGTAGTGAGATCGGGAGACAAAAGTGCTAGCCACCAGGCCAAGGCTCTATAGAGGTAGGGGGGAAGGGGGAGCCTCAAGAAGGGTAGGCGGCATCCCCGTGCGATCGACAAAAAATGGGCTCACCTCAAAAACTTCCAGAAAATTGGATAGCAAAATTAGCTGATGCTCGTGTTCGTTTTATAGCAGATCTCGTGCTCTACTCCCTTCCACTCCCCCTCCAAACAATGATGATGTGGATGAGAGGTGAAGCGTGGGTTTTTTCCTCGCCTTTTGGTGTGAACAAATTGGAATTTGGGCCCCTGGCCAAACGCCCACCAGAAAGATGCCCAATGTTAATTAGTGGCCGGCCCAAATATGAGAGATCAAAAATTGTGAGGGAATTTTGGGGCGTCCTTTTCATTTTTTAAATTTGGAAAATAGAAAATTAGATTTTCTAGGATTTAAAATTTAAATCTAGAGTCTGAACTTTCTATTGGGTTTTAGAGATTAAATTGAAATATTGGGAATTAGGGAAAATAGAAAGCTACAAATCCCGCTTTCTAAAAAAATTCAAATCGATTTTAATTTCAAACTGACAATTAAATTTTTGGAATTACAAAATCATCAGTAATTTAATTTAATTAGAGAAATTCAATTTATATGCTAAATAGCAAATTTTAATAGTAAAAACGGTAATAATTAAAAACCTCAAACTGCCATTTTCTAAAAATGAAAATCCGAAACTCACAATTGTTGAATAAAATTAGTTTATCGGGGGGTTGTAAAATTTAAATAATAACAAAAACTACCTATCAAAACTCGCGCGGAATGCCCTTGAAGGGTGTGATACAAGCAGAAGAAGAAGAAGAAGAAGCTGCGAATCGAGTCAAATCCCCCCTTCTCTTCCCCCTCTAAATACCCGATCCAGCGAAAATCACATTTGGCCTGCTCGTCCTCAGGGCGTTTTTTAAGACAAGAGTTCGTTTGTTCTTCGCCCCCACATAGCCGGTCAAATCTCGCGACAAATGTTATCGAGTTTTAACAACTGCAACTTTTACAAAAATTCAGGTTAAAATGGTTTAAAGGGACTGGCAAGGGTCTCTTTCCGGACTGCGACACGCCACGCGAAGGTTTAGAATACATTACGCAAGGGAAATACTACAATGCTATGTAAAAAATAAAAAGCTTGCGAAAAAAATTTCCGCGCGACAACACGCAACGCGCACGCCGCGCGCTTGATTTTAGACGCGTAATCGGTTGCTTGCGATTCACGCTAGGCGGGCGCGTCAGAATATTTTTCGACAGATTTTCGATGGATTTTTCCATGCGACAACACGACGCACACGCGACGCGTAAATCTTCAAAAAAAATCGCGTATTTAGTTACAGAATGAAATGGAGCGCGCCGCGTATGCGTCACGTGCCGTGGGCGCCCAGAATTCTTTAGACTTCGCAACGTTTTGCAGCGCCATGCGCTTCAGTCTAGCGCTAGAAAGAGGCATGTATTCAATTACGCAATGAAAATACGGGCTGCGTGGCTGTCGCCTCTCTCAAAACGCGTAGGCTTGCCTTACCAATACCTTTAAAATTTCTAGAAACTGCTTACCAAAATTCTGCAGCTTCAGAATTTTTTTCCCAGAAAAAAAATATAGCTTTGAAGATAGGTGTGTTTTGCCTAGGGGGGGCAGTTTTGAAGTATTTGAAGGTAATCCCGGTGCTGTGGTAGTAGCTGTGAAAGGGAGGTCGAGAAGGAGAGGAGAAGGAGGGGGGATCCCACCCACTAAAGGCTTAGCGATGACAAACTGGGGCATTTCGAGACTTCAAAAACAATCGCTTTGAAGTGGAAGGGGGATGGCCAGGGGATGGGGGGTTGAAGATGGTTGAGAAATGAAGCGGAAGTCCGAGGAAGTTGGGGCAAAAAGCAAAAATGTGTGGAGCGCGTGAATTTGAACTCGGTCCATGAGACTGTGAAGTGATGAGGGAACCAGATTGGCTTGGCTTAGGCTTGACTTAGTCTTAACTTAGGCTTAGGCTTGCCTTTGGCTTAGGCCTAGGTTTTAGGCTAAGGCTTGGGCTTGGCTGGGCACAGGCTTAGGCATAGGCATAGGCTTATGCTTAGGCTTAGGCTTTGGCTTGGCTTGGCTTAAGGTTGGGCTTGGGCTTAGTTTAGCTTAGGCTTGGGCTTAGGCTTTAGGCTTGGCTTGGCTTAACTTGGCTTAGGCTGACCTAGGCTTTGGCTTAGGTATGGCTTGGGCTTAGACTTAGACTTAGGCTTAGGCTTGGGCTTGGGCTTAGGCTTAGGCTTCGCTTAGGCCGGTTTAGGCTTAGACTTAGGCATCGGCTTCGGCTTGGGCTTAGGCTGGTTTAGGCTTAGACTTCGCTTAGGCTTCGGCTTGGGCTTGGGCTTAGGCTTAGGCTTAGAAAATCTAAAATCAAATGTTTTAGTATACTGGATGTAAAGCTTTGAAGCAGCGCAAGCCGATCAAGCGCAATAAAATACTTTTTAATAACAATTTCAAGCGGAACTCTGGCCGGAAGTAAAGCTTTTCAAAGAACGCATCAAGCCGGGATCAAGATCAATAAAACGGGCTTAATCCCCGCAGACCAGAAGCCTTTATATATATCAAGCTCCCCTCTCGATCGGTCCGTATAACGAATGGGCAAGACAAAAAGTGGAGAAGCAGAGAGTGGCCGGCACGTGGCCATTTCACAGCCCCGGATCGGCCAACCGGATGGCATTTTTACACCATTTCGAGCGTTAATTAAGGGCTCAAAAAGCGGGGAGCAGGAGGAGCGCTGGGCCTCTTAAAAGTGAGCATGACAGTGCTTCGTGTTTTGGGGACAACTGCTCGAATAACATTGTGAAAAATGAGCGGCAGTTGTATTGGCTGAGAACGGCTGGGGGAGGGGGAAGCTTTTCTTTACGAGATCTTGGGGTCATTGATCAAGTTCTGTGTTGGGGGCTGGGAGGAACAGCCCTTTTTGTGAGCATCAAAAAATGGTCCTTGAGAGGCATTCGTCAAACTGTTGGGTGGAATATACTTTCGTAACGTTGGAGAATACCAAAACACACTAATTTTAGCGTTTTTTTTAATAGACTTTTGGATTTTCCGGCACTATTTTCAAGCTTTAAATAATTTTTATATCGATTAGATAGCTAATATAAGTATATTTATAAAGTTAGAACAAGAAAACACACAAAACTGAGCTAATTGGTCCAGATTTTGTATTTTCAAATTTTTGTACGAATTTTTAACAAATTCCAAATCGATAAAACCTACTGTATTTCCGTCGCAAAATCGATAAAAGCTGTGTAGAACAGAAGAATTCAGGGTCAAATGATTTTCCGGGAACGCCCGGTCACACAGAGACAACCAAAATATTCCCCCAAAAAAATGTGAGGGAAGGAAAAATGAATCATTTTCGATTTTGAAACCGAAATTCGTGGCGGAAACTCTAAATTAAAGCTTAAATAGGCTTGGCTTAGGCGGCTTGGCTTAGGTGGTTTGGCTTAGGCGGCGGCAGGCGGCTTGGCCTAGGCGGCTGGCTAGGCGGCTGGCAGGCGGCTTGGCAGGCGGCTTGGCCGGGCGGCGGCTAGGCGGCTGGCGGCGGCTGGCGGCGGCCTGGCTTCAATGGCGGCTGGCGGCGGCGGCGGCTTGGCCAGGCGGCGGCTAGGCGGCTGGCAGGCGGCCGGCCTAGGCGGCCTGGCTCAATGGCTTGGCTTAGGCGGCCCGGCGCGGCGGCGGCGGCATGGCTTGGCTTAGGCGGCTTGGCTTAGGCGGCTTGGCTTAAGTGGCTTGGCTTAGGCGGCTTGGCTTAGGCGGCTTGGCTTAGGCGGCTTGGCTTAGGCGGCTTGGCTTAGGCGGCTTGGCTTAGGCGGCTTGGCTTAAGTGGCTTGGCTTAGGCGGCTTGGCTTAGGCGACTTGGCCTAGGCGGCTTGGCTTCGGCTCAGAGAAACTATTTGCTCACCAGATTTTCCAGCTTCTATAGCGAATATAGGAATATGTAGAAAATAGTTAATAATAACGATAAAGTATCTGCGGTTGATTTGCGGTCGGGGAGGGTGAGGGGTTTTTGGAGAATTGAGGATGAGAGATAGGGCGGGTGGCTGTTGTCAAAGAGCAGTTTGTGAGGAGGAAAAGGTGAGGAGGAGGTGGAGTAGGTCGAGAAAGACAAAAAGAGGGGTGAAGCTGCTGAAATTGATATCCCACATTCAATATACCCCCAACCACCTCAGCCCCGTCAAAAAAAAGTAAGAAAGAACGTGAAAAGATGACCACATGAAAAGCCATGCCCTTGTGGCTACCACTTTATACTTTCCTTTCCTCTTAACAACACCCCATTTCCGTGAAAAGACCATAAACTTTCCATTAGAAGTAATGGCTTCTTCGGGGCCACTGTTTTTTATGCTTTTCTACCTCCCAAAAGAGCACAATTTTTTTGTATCAGTCTAGAAAGGCCTCGTAACTGAATAGTAGGTATGGCAATTGTGTTTTTAATAAAATAAACTACATTCCAACTAGAACAAAAATATCCCACCACTTCGAAAATTTTTGAAAAAGTGGAAATCTTGGTCAAAAAAACGACGATTTTTCCTCGAAAAAACGATATTTTTTTGCATTGTTTAATTAAATTTTTTACGTTTACGGATAGTAAAAAAAGTTTTGAAACACTTCCGTGATTTATACTTAAAAATCGGTCCCTAAAAAATTTTCCTGATTTTCTGAAAGCGCGAAAAAAAGGAGGGGAGAAAAAAAAAAAAAAAAAAAAAAAAAAAAAAAAAAAGAAAAAAAAATCTCTTTGCTTTCGAAAATACGGCCGGCTGCCCATGCGCGCACGCGCTCACATCTTCCACTCTGCGTGCCCTCGTCATTTGGAAATTTTAATTTCAGATTGGATCCGGCGTTGTTGACCCACGAGTATAAAAGATTTTCGGTTTTTAAATTTTATGGTTAATATTTATAAAAAAAGAGGGGCCCTCCTCAAAAAAAACGAAAAAAAAGAGAGAAGAAAATAATTTTTTTTTTTTTTTTTTCTTGATATTCCTTTTCAAAATAATATATTTTCAGGCTCTTACCCGCGGCAACTTGTATATTTTGGGCTTTCAAGCAAATTGTAAAGTTCGGGCGTTCGAGCCAATTCGTAAACTTATAGCGACTACAAAAAAGTTAGTTGATATCGATTTTTATGGTTATAATAGCATATTGTTGAAATAGAAAGTGTAAAAACTAAAGCTACTTGCCTGATTCCTCGTTAATAAGGTATTACAGGTTAAAACAAAATTTTAAATTTTAAAAGCTATAGTAAGATGCCCAATCCTCTTTATTTTGACGATTAGATGTTTGAAAAAGCTAAACCAGGGACTACAACGTACGGATATTTGAAAGAAATAGTTTATGAACTGCTAAAACTTTGTAAATTTGCTCGAACACCCGAACTATACAAGATGCCGTCTTTGCGAAGCGGCGTCACTCAATGGCTGGTGATGTACGACTTCTTGTAGATGTTTTTTCGCGGTTAGTCTCTTTCATGCTACTTCCCCGGCATTTTAGGCACGATTTTGATGCAGTGGATGCCCCGACGATCGACGGACGGCGACAAGCAAGAAGGGGCAGCCGTACCGCGAAACGAACGAATCGATGGTATAGACATTTTCACCTTTCCCGTTAGATTTGCCTCGAAAAACCCTGTAAAAACGAAGAAAATAAGTGATAATCGATATTTTAGATTCTGAAGCTTGCTAATCGTAAAAATATGTAGTTTATTTAATTTTTTTCAGGTAAGACGCAGCTTGAAGACGACACGACGACTTGCGAATGTTTTTTTGCGGTTAGTCTATTTCATTCTACTTCCCCGGCATTTTAGATACGATTTTCTATGCAGTAGATGGTCCGATGGTCGAAGGAAGGCGGCAAGAACGAAAGAATGGCCGTATCGCGAAAAATCGGCATCGAATGAATCGATGGTATAGCCATTTTCACCTTTCCCGTTAGATTTACCTCGAAAAAACTCTAAAAATAGAGCAAATAAGTAATCGTCGTTATATTATACTCGGAAAATCGCTAATCGTAAAATTTTGCATTTTATTTGAACTTTTTCAGGCAACACGCAGCTCGAAATGACGCTCCTGGCGGCCACCGGCGTTATGACCAAGTTTTCGGCGAAGATCACGCACTGAACACGCTTTGCGAATGTTTTTTTTGCGGTTAGTCTTTTACAATCTACTTCCCCGGCATTTTAGGTACGATTTTGGATGACGGTGGACGGTCGATCGAAGGCGACAAGAAAGAAGGGACGGCCGTAGTGCGAAAACTCGGACTAAAACGGCCCAATGGTATAGCCATTTTCACCTTTTCTGCAGGATTCTCCTCGAAAGAATTGGAAAAACGGAGAAAACAAGCGATTATCGCTATTATATACTCGGCAAATCGCTAATCGTAAAAATTTGCATTTTATTTGAACTTTTTCAGGCAACACGCAGCTCGAAATGGCGCTCCTGGCGGCCACCGACGTGGTAGTGGAGCTGACGACGAGGAATTCATGCCCAGACCGACTTGGCAAGACAATTAGGAGAAGTACAATCGAAGCTTACAAGGTATTTGTATTTTTGAAACGATTTTTTAGAGTATACGCTCGCCAAGGAAGTGAAATACGCTAAAGGATAAGCCTTACAAAGTTGCACGGACACCAGAAATACACAAGCCGCCGCATGAGCTGGACGATGTCTTGTGGCTGTTTTTTTCTGCGGTTAGTCACCTTCATGCTACTTCCCCGGCATTTTTAGATACGATTTTCGACGATGTCACTGTTCCGACCTCCGACAGAAGGCGGTAAGAAGGGAGGGACGGCCGTACCGCGAAAACTCGGCATCGGACGAATCGATTGTATAGCCATTTTCAACTTTCTCGTTAGATTTTCCTCGGAAAAAAACTGTAAAACCGAGCAAAAAAGTGATAGTCGTTATTTTGTACTCAGCAAATAGCTAACCGTAAAAATATGTCTTTTATTTGAACTTTTTCAGGCAACACGCAGCTCGAAATGGCGCTCCTGGCGGCCACCGGCGTTGCAGTGGAGCTGACGACGAGGAATTCATGCCCAGATCAACCTTGCAAGACGATTAGAAGAAATGGAATGGAAGCTTACAAGGTATTTTTATTTTTAAAACGAATCTTTAGATTATACGCTCGCCAAGGAAGTGAAATACGCGACGGGAGAAGCTTTACAAGATTCGACGCGCTCTGGTCCGCTCAAGGTCTGGAATTCCAAGAAGGACGTTGCTCGGCGGCGGACGGCGATTTTCCGTAAAATTCTTTTTCCAAAAGACTTCAAAATCAAGAATATAGTTTTTAATGGCTTGTTTATTTTCGTATTTTCTATCGTATTTCAGAATCTAGAGTAGTAGGAAAAGAGAAAAGATCGTCGCTGCCTACGTAGATCGAAAATTGGCCCCAATCAGTCGTTCTCTGGGTCTCTTCCCAGCCATAACACATCTATTCTTTAAGAATCGTTGTTCTCCTCGTTTTTCAAAACAGAGACAAGAAAATTTAGAACAAAAGGGGGTTTATACAATAAATTCGGTTTCTAGGTGCGCTGATTTTCGATTTCTGAATTTCTCCTCCTTTTTTCGGGGCGAACAAATTCCTTCGGTCCTTAGGTTTTAAGCATTGACAAACAGAAGAGAAGGGCGGATTATTTTACTCGTAATTCTTTTCTTTTACCTTCTTTTACTAGAAGTTTCAGGGGGCAGGGGGCGGGGGGCAGCAGTGGGGGGTTGAGACAATTTCTATTTGTTCTATTCTAGGGTGGGCAAGAAAGTGGGCTAGAAGAGAAGACGTAGAAAAAGACGAAAAAGAGGACTGTCTATACCCGTTGTGTGTATGGCTTTGGAATCGTAGGGGGAGGAGGGGGGAGGATCGAGGGCACCAACCATTTTTCGCTTTTCACCCCCGCAGCGTGCGCATACATTTCGGGGGTTATCGATTTTTTCGGAAGTTTTATGTACCTAAAAAATATTATATTAATTTTTTTATATCTAGTGCTAGCCAGCTAATTAATTTCGCTTAAACTTTAGGCTTAAATTTTGTATTTTCTAGTTTATAGCTGCTATAGACTTCATTTTGCGATTTTAATCAACTTTTAATCGTGATTTTGGCTTGAAAAATTTGTGTTTAATATTTTGGGATATACTATTCAGCTTATTGATTTAAAAAATTAGATTTAAAGTTTTTGTGTAGTGTCGATTTTTGTATTTTGTAACTTATATCGAACTCATTGCTGCCTGATTTTTATTAATGGCAACTAGTTTTGGTTTTCATTCTTTTGTTGCACATTTTGCATATCATTTAGCGTTTCACGGTACTCTAAGCGAAATTTGACGAGTTTTTGGTTTTTCGTCGCGTAATTGGTTGGATTTCGCCCCCCTCATGGTGTAATTTTTTCTTTTTCAGAAATAGCTTTTTATTTAGTTCATGATACGATCTCCATTTTTTACTTTTTAAAGGGACGGTGCCGCCAAGAAATCCGCCTAGAATTGGGCCCTTTTGGACCCTTGCTAAGGGGCGCACGACAAGATTTGCCAACAAGGGGGTGCCGCACGCGACGCCGTGGTGTTATTTGGTGGCGGATTGAGGGTAGGAGGGTGGGAGAGAGGTAGAGAAAGAGAGACAGCGATAGAGAGAGACAGAAATTGTTGAGTGTGTCAGCCAACACACCCTCTCCATCCACATCTCCCCCCGACAAAGAGCTTCTTCTCGTTTTGTCTTTTTTGCGTTGCCCCCCCCCCGTCGTTTTCTTGGGTGGTGGGCCACAGCGCGTTGGAAAGTCCTCTTTTCTGCCCTGTCATCGCACCCTCCACCCCCCCACTAGCAGAAATCGACATTTCCGGTGCACGCCGGGATCTGGATTTGCCCGGGAAATGACGTTCACGTGCAAATTGGGTCCGGGGCTTCACCTTTGGACCTTTTGATTTTGTAGTTTGTAGCTTATAACTCTTTAATTAACGATTTCCGCTGGAGCAACTATCCGAATTTGTATCTGCTAGCTTGCCTGGCTCAAAAAATTATTTTCTAGTTTTTCAGAACGTTGCCCGATTTTTTGACCATCGGATTTTGTAGTTGGTAGCTGTTTGCGGGTTGTAGTTTGTAGTTATAGCTTTCTAGCTTTTCCGTTAACTCGGTAAGGATAGACAAATTTCCGAAATCGCCTCCGCTAGTTTGCTCTGCTTTTAAAAGTTATTCTTTTAGTAATTTTCCGGGTATTTGGATTTTTTAAAGCTGCAAAATTAAATTTCGGCAAATTTCAAGATTGCCGAAACTGCCTCTGGTAACTTTTTTGTCTAAAAAAATTAATTTTGATAACTTTCGATTAAATTTTTCGATGTTTTGAAGTTGCGTAAGCGAGCTTTAGATCGTTTTAAACTTTTAAATTTGTCAGAATCTATAGCGATATGCCTTGCCGGCCCTTTTAAAATGCCGCTGTTCAGGCTGTCGGCCTATGACTCATCAACCTCATTTCCAAAAACCCCCAATTTTTAGTGTAATTCCTGACTCAACAAAATTTCATTACATTCCCATTTCCGGTTTTCGTAAGTCCGTAACATTTTCGTAGCTCCTCGTAGCTTACGACGTCTAGCCAGTGAGTAAAGATACCCCCAACCATATGGCTGTGATTGGGGTTGGGTCCCAAAGCGAACGTGTCAGTATTGGTCAGTCAGTAGAGAGAGAGAGAGAGAGAGAGACAGCGAGAGACAGAGAGTAGCAGAAGCCCCATCGTTTGAGTATTACACCACGTTCCTCTTTACACGAATGGCCAACCAACCGGCTCTACCCCTCTACCATTACAATCCTCCTCTCCTTCCTTCCCTCCCCTCCTCTCCCCTTCTAACCAACCGATTGATCACCAAATTCTAATCTATTTTTCTATTCTCTTTCTCCACCTCTTGCTCATTTTCTGATTGTCATTTCCTATCGATCAGCGCCCGCTAGAAAAACAAAACCCCCTCCCCGCCTAGCATCAACGCCAAAATTCCCACTCATCGCTGGGTTCCTGAAGGTGCTATTAGTTTTACGAAATTTTTTCGGATTTTTGCCGATTTTTTTGGGTTTTTAGGGTCTAAATTTCCCTGAAAAAGCTAGAACGTACCTATAACATCTTTATTAACAGTTCTGAATTAAAAATTTCCAAAAGCAAGATCCTGCTGCGAAAGGGAGTCGAACTTGCACCCTGAGATCGAGGCAACGTCGTTAACCGCTCGGCCATCCTCGAGCGCGGGTCGTTGTCGATATTTTCGCGTTAGAAACCTCTTAGACTACATCTATCTATTGTTTATAATATTTTTTGTACAAATCCCCAGACACGCAGAAGAATATTTCCACGGTGGTGATCGAACTCGGACCCCAGTTTTCGAGGCAAAATTACTAACCACTCGGCCATCGCGAAATTTGGTGGGAAGGCCGAAAAAGCTTTTCGCTGATTCCGGTGCCAATTTGCCCAAAAACCGGCCCTACTATTTGACACTATATCCACAGCACATTTCTTTCCGGTTTTTCCGTTCCTTTCCGATACAATGAAACCCAATTCCCCCACCAAACTTAGAGACTAGAAAAATCCCAGAGAATTAGAGAATCAGAGAAAGCCAAGAAAAAGACTATTTGATGTGAGGAGCTGGCTGACAGTTTGTTTGTTTGAGCTTCGTTCGTCCCCACCGATCCCCTCCCTTTTCCTTTAGGCTTCTCCTCTAGGCTTCTCCTTTCCATCGCCTTTTCCAAGAATGACCGCGTTGAGCTTCTTCTGCTTTTTTGTGCTTTCTCGAACCTCGATTCCACCAAATTTCCATCGATAATTGATTCCCACGAGCTAAGTTCTTTATTACGAATTTTTAGAAATGCCCTTCAAGCCCGTCGAGCACCCGAAATGCCCGAAATGCGGCAAATCGGTGTATGCTGCCGAGGAAATGGTCGCTGGCGGCTACAAATGGCACAAATTCTGCTTCAAGTGCAGTACGTTTTTGGGATTAGCTCTAAAAATTAGATTTAGTTTTCGGGAACCTTCGCATTATCGGGGGGAGGGACTCACTTTTTCTTTGGTATCCAATTTCTTAGTATAAATCGACGAAGTGATTTTACATTGTTTGTACTGTTGCTAAACTCACATTTTTGTTAAAAATACAAAAAATTCGATTTTCGACCAAAAATGAGCAAAATTTCGAATTTCTCTACCCTTTTCCAGGTTTTGGAAAGTTTTTGCGCTTGAAAAATAGTTAAATTTTAGTAAATGACTATTAAAATACGTCCTATTAAGTCACTATGGGATTTCTGAAAATTAATAATGGAAAAATTCCCCTCCCTCCGATAATGCAAAAATTCCGCTTTTCGAAAGTTGTAGATTGGATTTTAGAGTCTGTTAATATGACGAAGTTATAAAAACCTCTATAACGCTACGAAACTTTACGAAATAACAGTTACCGATCCAAATACAGCTTATTTAAATTCAAAACCTATCAAAAAGACATTCAAAAACTTTTTTATACGTATAAAATTTTGAAAATAAAAGTTTACCATTTATTATTGTCCTCGTCGATGTCCACGTCGGTTTGTCCGTTTTTTTCCAGCCTTTCAAATGTGCCATTTTCCACCCAGCTTCTGGTCCCCCCAAAAAGCATGGCGCGCCAATTGCGGTCGGCATCTAGCAAATCGGCGGGCGTTTAGCAATGTGCAACAAGCTGCTCGACTCGATGACGTGCTGTGAGCATGCGGCTGAATTGTACTGCAAACAATGCCATTGCCGACGATGGGGACCGAAGGGCATTGGATTCGGAATTGGAGGAGGGACGTTGACCATGGATACCGGCGAACAGTTTGGCAATAAGGAGGTCGATATGACGTCAGTAATTTGGAGAAAAGTTGCATGATTTCGGCATGTTTTTCTTGCTTGAAAAAACTAACTCGGAAAATTGGACATGAAAAATTGGTAAGGCTACAGCTTCCCCTTGGCTTACAGTGATGTAAAATATACCAAAATACTCGCCTTGATCTGCTGAGTATTTTGGTATACCTTACACCCTTGTAGCACAACGTGGAGCCAAGATACCTACAAAAAAGGAGGGGGGGCGGCTGGAAATCCGCTTTAGCCGAAAAAGTACAAAACTGGTGCGCCGGGGCCTTCCCTTCCCTTTTTGAGGCGGCCACCCTCCCCGAACCACGCCGGGTCCTTGCTGTAGTGGTTAGTAACCCTACCTACCAATCTCACGACCCTGGTTCGGATCCCCCTAGGTGCGAATTTTTTTGCTTTTTCTTCGAAAAAGTTGTGTCCAACTTTCCTTTATGCTTTACTAATCAAATAATCAACACTCTATGGCTATATCGACTAATCAAGCTTTAATTTTTACGTTTACACGTCGTCCGTCCGGTCCAGTCGTCAGAAAAGCGTCAAAAATCGATAGATATCGATTGAATTGAATGCTATCCTTAGCACCCTCTACCCATTCCAGACATGTGCAATAAATTGCTCGATTCGGTGAACGTGGCCCCGCACGAGGCCGAGCTCTACTGCAAAAATTGCCACGGGCGAAAGTACGGCCCCAAGGGCGTCGGATTTGGCCTCGGAGCCGGCTGCTTGACGACGGACTCGGGCGAGCGGTTCGGCAACACCAAGCAGTAGTCGGCGTTTAAAACGTGAGAAATGCTTCAAATGGCCGTTAGTGCAGCTGATCTGCATGAAATATTACAAAAATGGATTAAGTTCATCGAAATCATCGATTTTTTTGTGAAATCCGGCACCTGAATCTAGAAAATTCAAAAATGTCTCCCTAATCTCGTTTCAAAATTTCCCCAATCTTTTTTGCATAAAATACAGTTGAGGGCATTTTACAAAAATTTAGAAAATTCACAATTCTTAAAACATAAAAAACTAAAATTCGGATAAAAATATAGTTTTTTTCAAAATCAGGTACCAGATTTTCGAAAAATTTAGAAAATCAACCAACTAACCCAGCATCAAAATCCCCTCAAATATTCGCATGGAATGCAGTGCATGGAAGATTCCAAAATACAGTAACCCCCATAAATTTCCCAACTTTTAGAAACCGCCCCATGACAGCCGAGGCTTTCACCGCGCCCATCAACCCGCAACACCACTGAATTATCTCAAACTTTTCTGCTATTTGAAAAACCGGCTACGGTTCCACATAAAATCACTTTATTCCTACTGTAAATCGACCATTTTCGGCATTTATTCAATGATTTTCAACGATTTTCAACGACTTTGATCCTCTTCTTGTTGCCATACCAACAAAAACCCCGATTTTTATGCCTAAAATTGCTCCAAAATTTTTAGTAACACTTTTTCGTTCCTTTTTTTCACTAAATTCAATTGATTGCGTTGTTTTGAATAAAATGAAAGTCGAAGAGGGGCGAGTTTTGGGGGACAATGGACCCTAACGAGGCCAAAAAGCGGGACACCAAGGCGTCTTTTGGAAAGGACGGAATTTTGGGTGAAATGGAGGCCAAAGCTATCCTTTTGGCTAATACATTTTTAATTCTATCTATATCGTCCGTTTCTGAGCATTGGCTACTTTACAAGGTAAATTATAACATTTTTTCAGGTTTTTAAATTTTTCAAAATTTAATGTGGATTTTATAACTTGAAAAAATGAAATTTGAAACTTTTAGAGCTTTCTTTAGAACTTGTACCAATACGAAAATAGTATTTTTTTAAATATAGGCACTTTTCAAAGGCCACAAATAGTTTTGGATTTTTCAATAATGAGAGCTTTTTAATTTTATTAAATTCTAACTACAACAATTCACCCAAAAATCTGCTCCTTCCAAATTACTCACACTCCTGCGAAATTCCCATCCAACAAAACCCGGAATTTCCCACAAATTCCACAAATTCAGGTGCGAAAACAAACACCGCCGCCGAGTCACTGTTTCAAGCATACGGTACTTTTTCTTCAATCCCAAAAACGTACAGTAATCCAGTCGATTCAAGGGGTGCACTATTTGCAATGTCTAAACCGATCTTACGCGCTTATCGAGCAGCACACGTCACTTTTTCGATTGTGCAACGATTTAACAGGTAGGAAAATAATTAAAACCCCTTTAAACTGCTATTAAAATTCAGGAAGTACGCGTAAAAACGTTTCGCGGCGTCAATTGTTGTATGATGGAAATTGTCATTGGTTTTTATAGGAATTTTTAAACAATTTTTTCAACTTTTTTTAGGGTGCTGACCGCCCCGTGGTCAGAATGGACCCCGTCGGCCATTTCATACTGGGAATTCGGCGTGTCGGCCCTATTCTCATTAGCCGCCCTGGGAAATCTCGTGTTTGCCGCCCATCGGGCCGTCAAGGTGGGTGTGTGTGTGTGGCTGGGGGTTGCGTCACAATCTTTTATCTAGTGTCTAGCGTGTCTAAACGAGACAATAGATCTAAAGGAAGCTAAAGAAATCCCCTCGGTCTAATTGGGTCTCCGGTTTCTAGCCGGAGTAGGGCTCCGGAAAGGGCAAAAGGCTTCAAAAATCAAATCTAGTGCCTGCTAAATTAGTGCAAATCGATGGCGCTACCAGTTCCCGAAAAAGCAAAAAGTTTTGACTACGAAAAGACTCGAACCCTCACACCCACTACTGAGAGGTGAGCGCTGTACCAATTAGCCAACAGAGGGACAGGGTTCGGAAGGAAGAGAGCCTTTTCAATCCCCTCCCAAACATGCCAGGAGGGACCCCAAA